CCAGAAGGAATAACACACGTCTGCCTCTTTGCCCACGCGCCCAGCGAAGCCCGAGCCGGGCTGCTGCAGCGCCAAGAGCCAGCGCGTCGCATCGGCTTGCTGCGCGGCGCTGAGCGTCACGCCGAGGCGCGCGCTGAGATGCAGCGCGGCGAGGGCGCAGTACGTCGAGCCGGCTTTTGTTGGAGACAGGGCATATGGAGGGTGTAGGTAAACGCAGGGTAGAGAGACACGAGGGGCACGAGCGAAGGAGAAAGGACGCACCGTGTGACTCCATCCCTGGTGTTTGCCCGAACGCTCCTTCAAACGTCTGCATGGGAACTCCTCATCAGCCTCTTCTCTTCCCCTTTGCCTTGTCCCTCTCAGCATGCGTGCCCCCCCTCCCCACCTTCTCTCTGGTCCAGGCGGCAAAGCAGACACTCACGCGACACCGCATCAGGTACGCGATGGCCGCATCGACATTGATGCTGCGCCACGCCGGCGCGCCCAGCATGTCGCAGAGGGCAAAGGCGCAGTAGAGGAAGCGCACGTCCGAGGCGGCGTCTGCTGGCGTCGACATGAAGCTGTGTGTGTGTGGGGGTGCAAGTAACCACAGTCCACCCGTCAGCCAGGTGCCTCCCCCTCCCCACCCTTGCTACACGAAGCGACCCAAACATATATACGCACCTGCCATCGTCCTTCTGACATCTGCCCAACAGCGCACACAGCGCCTCTCGCTGTAGCCTGCTGCCGCCCAGGTGCGCATCGCGCAGCACGCCGAGCGAGAGGAGCGCCGTGTATGTCTGTGCCAGATCGCCCTCTTGCGACACCTATGTCCAGCGTGGTGCCCCTTCAGCTCGTGGACAACGCACGCCCTACGCCTCTTACGCACGCTCGAGGGGCCAGGCAGTTCGAAGGCCGGTGATGGACGAAAGCCGCCCGATTCTGCGTCGCGCGCATCTCCTCTCAGTCTCTTTCTCTCCGACCAAATCGTAACCACACTGACCAGCCTGTCTCTCCCAAATCCACTGTGCCCACTCCTCGCTCTCCTGCTGCACCTTGTGCGCGCTGCCCAGCACGTCGAGCGCGGCGAGGGCGAAGAAGATGAGAGTGAGACGCTGCGCATCGGCGCCGGCGCACTGGTAGTGCGTGGGGAGGAGATGCAGATGGCGCAGCAGCAGCGCGGTGTGGCGTGGTGAGAGAGACATGACCGCGCCCGCGTGAGAGAGGCGGGAAGCAGGGCGGGCTGGTGGTGGTGGGTGTAGCGGGGCGAGGCCGGAGAACTTGAAGGTCTGTGCGCGCCAGAGACAGCCTGCGAGCCAAGCCGCGGCAAGCTCAAGGAAGGCCGCGCGCAGGCGAAGCTTCCCTCGCGCCTTGCTTCCTCTCCTCCACCTCGCGCTGCGCATCATGTCCTCCTCCTCCTCCTCCGCACAACAGCCAGGCGTCGACGTCGGCGATCTCTCGCCGCAACAGCTTCTCGACGTTCGCTCACAGCTGCAGTCCGAACTGCAGCACCTCACCGCCTCGTACGGCCAGCTGCGCGCCGCACAGCTCAAGTTCAAGGGCTGCCTCGACGCACTGGCCGCGCTGGGGCCAAGCGCAGAGGGCAAAGAGACACTCGTGCCGCTCAGTGCCAGTCTCTATGTGCCCGGCAGACTGCGCAGCACGCACACGGTCATCGTCGATGTGGGCACGGGCTATTTCGTCGAAAAGGTGCGGTGTTTGCCGCTCTCTCTACTCGCTGCCCATCGTCATGGCTGACTCTCCGCCATGGGCGCAGGATGTAGAGTCGGCGGCAACGATGTACGACGGCAAAGTGGCTGCGCTCGAGGCCAATCTGCAGGAGCTGCAGGCGACCATCCTGCGCAAGGAGGACAACTTGAGAGTCGTGAGGGATGTGCTGACTGTGGTGAGCGTGTTTCTTACTTGCGGCGGCCCCCCACCCGGAGACCGGAGACCCGGGAGAGAGCAGGGTTGCCCGGACTGAGAATGGGCGGGCGGGCGTTACCTTAAGAAGGAGGCCGGGAGTGGGGCGCGTGGACAAAGTGTGGAGAAGGGAGTGAGGTGGGCGAGACGGAGGAAGCACGGCCGCGGCCCTGTGTTGGGAGAAGGCAGTAGGCGGGAAAGAAAGTTGGGGATGCGAGAGGACTGATGCGCAAAGCTCTCACTGCGGCGAGCAAGTTCGTTGTTTCGGTATGCTCGCTCAAGGCAGGGAGATGGGGAGCGCCCAAGAAGCTGATGTTAGAGTGGGGGGCATCAAGAGTCTCTGAGGAGCCAAGGGGGCGCATGAGAGAGGTTTCGATGCGCTCTCTGTTTCCTCTCACTGCGCAGGCTTCGGCAATGCAGAGCTCCGTGACAAGCTGTTCCCTCCTTGCTCTCTCACTCATCGCTTGTCGTTCTACTTGCTGACACTCTGTTCTTCCATCGCACCTCGCAACCCTCGCACCTCGCACCTCGCACCTCGCGACGAGCAGAAGGCACAGCAACAACGCATGCAATTGCCGCAGGAGTCAGGCGCAGGAGCGGCTGGAGCGGCGAGCGTTGCAGTGTAAGGAGGGGGGGGGGGCGCTGGAGCGAGCACAGGGCTAGAGCGGCGCAGAGAAGGAGGAGGGGCGAGAGGGGTCAATAATGTGAGCTTTGATTCGAAGATTCGAAGGGCGTGACGTGTTGCTTGCGTGTGAGAACGATTTCCAAGAGCTGTTTGATGTAGGGGGCTGGCCGTGTCGAAGTACTGCCCGCTTTGAGGGCTCATGATGATAAGGGGGAAGAGAAGAAGGAGTGACATGTGAGAGGGCGATGTGAGAGGGCGCGTCTGCACATTTGCGCACAGAAGGTAGGAGCGAAGGGCAAAGGATGGGAGGCCCGCCTGTAGCGCAAGCAATGATTGAAAACAACGCGGCGTGATGGAGGCTTTCATTAGAGGTGCGTTTGGAACAAATAGACGAGGACCGGCGAGAGAGAAGCGGAGGAAGAGATGATGCAGAGAGAGAGAGAGGCTAGACGAGGCGAGCCGTGCTTGCGCGACTCCTTTCTTGCGCCTGCTCCACAGGCGCACTTGCAGATGGTGCCGCTGTTGTTGCTGATGGCGCTGCCGCTGCGCCCGCTTTGCCCGAGGAGGAGGAGGAGGAGGAGGAGGAGGAGGAGGAGGAGGAGGAGGAGGCGCCCGAGGCAGCCGCAGCCGCACCCGCTGCTGCGGCAGGTCTCGTGTGGCCAAAGCCGAGATTCTTGGGATCGTCTCGCTCCATGAGACCGCTGGTTTTGCCGAGATCGGGAACGTCAGTGAGATCTCGCCTGCCGCGGGCGCTGGGTTGCGCAGGCATGGGGGGGGGCAGTATCTCTTCATCACAACAACAGCAAGGCTGCCCCCCCTCCCGTCCTTGCTCCATCTCTCTTTCTCGGCTTCTCGGCTTTTCGTCTTCGCTTCTTTGCCGCCCGCCTGAGGCGAGCCACAAAGTTCTGCGAGTAAGACCCGGCCTGCGAGCAGAGAGGGCAGGAAAGAGACAAAGCTGACAAAGCTAGGCCCCGTCTCGAGCTTTTCTCTCTCTCTGCTTCTTGCCGCCCCCCGCCGCCACCGCCCGCGAGGGATGGAGTAAAAAGGGTAGTGCACGCTTCTCTCTGTGCTTTGGGCGCCTCTAGAGAGTCCCAAGACTATGGCGCTTCGCCTCCAGGCTGCGCCTTGCAAGCGCCACCACACTTTCTTTCTGTCGCCCTCGCGCTCGACCTTTACCCCCGCTGCTCACAGCAAACTCGCGCGCAGGCCATCATCTGCAACTACTAGTCCCTCTCCTCCTTTCCGCTTTCTCTTCCTACGCTGCCTTTCTGCCAAGACCGCTGCGGATGCGCTAACCCCTCATCATCCACACGCCCCCCCCC